ACAGTAGCAATCTATAACGGCCCGGTATGACAATACCTAGTCCACCCAAAATACATCAAAACTAAGCATGTCAAGTAACACAAATGTAAAAAGGTAATCGATGACCAGCAACCTCGATGTCACACAACCCTGCCATCCCTATTTCAAGATAACCTCACCACCAATAGGTGATTCTATACAAATAGGAGATGCTAACTGTGCCGACTCTAACTCTAAAATCGATGCAAATGTAAAAGAAATAAAAGAATGATATGCATCTGTATCAATCAACACATTAGCAACTGAATTGCAAAACAAGAAGGTACCTCTCACTACAGAAGAAGCATGTACAAAATCTGGCGTTTCAACTGCGTACACACACCTAGTAGGTCTCTGCTCAACCTGCTCACCCCTCGGAGCAAAAGCCCGATGCACTGACTGAGCTAAAGAGACTCCCAAATTGGCCCTCGAGGCCTGTGCTGGCAGGTTGTAGGGATCCTGACTTTGACCGTCTCTTGTGGTGTTCCGGGCTCGGGTTGGTATGGTTTTAAACGTTGTTGCGTATCTTAGTTTCCCTTGTATTCCCCTTATTTTTGGTTATCAGGTTATAGTGGTATGTTTAGAACAGGTAATGTCTCCAAACCTTTAGATGTGAATCCAACCCGAATTGTTCTCGAACACAGCTTATGGGGGTTGGCTACCCGGTCAGCTCGTTGAAGCAAAAATGCAAAATGCATTCAAAGTTGCTTGTCTGCTCAAGCGGAAAATGTTTGGTTCCAAAGTTTTGACCTATCTGCAAAAGTACTGGAAGAGGTGTATTCGACGCTCGAGTAGGGCTTTCCATGTTCGAGCGGACCATGTATATCAGTTCGTGAATCTGATATTTCAGATCACTTTTGTATATCACTCTCTCTCTAAAAATATTTTCTCTCATTTGTCTCTACATTTCTCTACACAAACTAGATCAAAAACCTTGATTTCTCAAGAGCCATTTGAGTTTTGCCATTGTTTCTTCATCAAATGGGTTATCAATTGAGGGCTTTGTTATGTGCGGTGAAGATTGAGTTTAGGCATCGTTGATTTTGGGGTTTCATCTCTGTTCTTCTTTCAAACTTGAGGTAGGGATTTTCTTAGAGTTATATATATATTTTTTGCAAGATCTATATGATTTTTGAAATCTCTTTCGATAGCATTGAAAATTGATTGTTGATTCAAGAAGTTAAGCGAGTATTTTGAAAGTGGGTTTGCTCTTGTTCTTTTAAAATGATCTTATGGGTTTTGATCTTCGTTGACTGAAAGAAAGATGATTTTGAAAGTTTTTCTTTTCAAAAGATTGAGTTGTATTGTTTTGGTGAGAAAACCTAGAATTTGGGAAATTTTTTAAAAGAGACTGAAAATCCATGAATGATATTGTTATATTTATTTTATGATGTGTCAAAATAAATGGATGTTTGGAAAATTTATTATTTATATTTATATAAATGATGAATTTCAGGGAATATGAGAATTATTGTTCATTTTGGAAATTATTGTTCAAAATATTGAAAATAGTTTTGAAATGACTAATTATTGAGGATACTTGAGAAGAGGGAATTGTGTTATCCTTAGATGATGAATTGGAACAAAACTATTTATATTCATCTTGTGTTGTTGTCATATCAATCATTTGATTACATTAAACTTTGAAAGTTAATTTGAAAACTTGCATTGAGAAAAGAATGTTGAGAAACAAGTTTTCTGAAATGGTTTTGGGGTAAATACGTTGGTAAGTCTTGATAGGTGTGTAGATGATATTAAAGAAGTTGGCCTGAGAGTCCGGGGTGAAGAGCCGAAAATCGAGCGAATAGGTGCCGAGCCTTCCGGTTAATACCGGTAAAAATGACAAGTTGGTAGTACTTGTATAGTCTACTTGCACACCGACCTAGGGATTAAAAAGTCGTATTTACCGCTCTTGAAATGAAATTGTTAAGTTTTGAAGAATTGAAATTGCATGACATCATTGAGTATGATAGTTTTCAAAGATGAAGAACTATTGTATCATGTAATGTAAGTTTGGAAATTTAATATTCAGTTTTCCTTGAAAAGAGCCATGATTGTTGTATATTATCATTTGGGCTAGAAATTTGGGGTGTTACACAGGTGACTCTGTGTCTGCCTTGAACCAGATGCATCAGTTGCGCCACCCAACTGTGGGCAAAACCTTTTCAATGCCCTGCATGCCTCACCTGATAACAAGTGAGTGGTTGGCCTCTCCTTGACTTTGGCTCTGAGAACGAGCCGAAGATGATGCTACTCGCTGCCCTCCTCCTCTCTACAGGCAAGCTGGAGACTTTGTGGCCCTACTGACCATATTTTAAAACAAGTAAAATCTCCCTGGCCACCCTTTCCAGAACCCGCAATCGGTATTGGGAAAAGTGGACCTTGACCGAGCTCCTTGGACTGCTGAGGGTTAGAACTCCTCTGCCTCTTATTGTCCCTGACTATCCTGACCCCTTCTGGAGCCCCTCATTCTCTCATCCTCTATATGTATGATAGTCTCAAGATGGGCTTGCAGCCTCCATAAGGTGCAACATAATCTCTAATCATGGACCCGGTGTAACAAGCCCGCGGGGGACCTCGCTACAGCTCGGACTCGATTCGTAGTCACGCGTTCTAAGTCTGAACCAAGAGTCCAAATCCGGCAAATCGTTTGAGAAAACAGATTTTTGAAGAAGTTCCAAACATGAAGTGCTTTGCCCAGATACAGAGTCGCCACCTAAATATTTTATTTTGGGAAATTTAGGAACCCTGACTCGGTGCCAAGGCCACGTGTCGTCATCACCAAAGTTGCCTCGGCTCGGGAACTTGGCTACGATTGGGAAGGTCACTTCGTGAGCACCCCCGCTCGCCCGGTCAGAGACCGGCCTCTACTAACCATGATTTCTATTTTTGAAAACATTGTGTGTTCTTATTCCGGTTTACTAGGTTACTATGTGATGCACACAGCATATAAGTATAGACCAGGTCCGCCCGATATTGGAACAAGACATTTCATGCTTGTTTATTTGAAAGATGGTTTGCTACTCACAAGTAGCTTAAAATGCAGATTTTGCACCCTCGGGTGGCCTTAGAAAATATGGTTTTGCCTAATCTAGTGGGCTTAAAACAAACAGTTGATGACTTTATTCCAATCCAAAAACAACCAACATTCACCCACAGTCATTCAGGCAGTTATACTCACATAAGCACATAGCCCTCATGGTAAGCATGCTATCATGGCAGTCACTCACACGCATGCAAGGATGCTAAAGCATAAAACTTACCGAGTACTCCAAGCCAAAACAGATATTGTATTAGAAATCATGCATGATCCTAAGTATACAGAAATACCTAATGCAACACATGCAAAATGCAACTATAGGCAGGCTCGGTCTATTCTAAACATGGCATATGGAATGCTACAGCTAACAGTACTCAATTTGGAATTGAAAATACAATGCTGTTAGTTATGGGTGTGCCAAGCCCGGTGCATACAAAACAGATGAATGAATGGCATAACATGCTGTCATACTGTATGCTAATTGAAATATGCCCTAATCTAACCATCATAAGCGGATAAATAAAAGGGAAGAAAGACGTGGGGTTGGAAGACATACATCACACACACGCACACTTTTATAACAGTTGTGCCCTCGCACAGAGGGTCCGAATAATATAACAGTCCCGAATGAAAGAATATTACAGTCCGATATATACAGTCCAAATAATACAAATTCTTAATTAATTAGCAAATTACCTAAGAAATTTATAGAACTGGCATGCAAGCCAGGGACTGCCTTGCTTCTTGATGAATGATGCATGTCGGGCTGCCTTGCGCGGAATCCACTGGGATGCCCCGATTAGCCTCTGTTTAGCAGTTATTCTTGGAAAGCGTGCTGGGCTCCGAAAAATTGCTGATTCTTCATTTTGCTGCAACAGAGAGCAGGAAAGGGCATAGCAATGTATTTCACAGATATATGCATGCCTCGATCCTCGTGCCACCAATCACGCATACCGAGGCATGATGGCCGAGGAGTCGAATTGCACAATTCAATATAGGATGAATGCACATGAAAACTAACTAAAACCTAACTCCATCATGGGTAATCCGGAGTGTCGGTGACTGGGGAATTGAGACGCGTTCCGTCACTCAGAGTACGAAACGCACTCGTTTCCCGTGCCCGGGCTAACTCCCTATTCCGAACACGATGCAATATGCATGATGTGCATGAAATGCAACTAAGATAAAATCCTAACATACAACATGTTATGAAAATGAGATACCTCGAAATGCGTGCACGCGAGCACGCAAACCGAGAAAAAAAAAAAAAAAAAAAAAAAAAAAAAAAAAAAAAAAAAAAAAAAAAAAAAAAGGCTAATGAATATTTAACAAGAAAACAAGAGCATAAATAATTTACCAAGACAAATGGTCATAAAAAAAAATTACCAAGACAACATATACAAAACTAATAAATTGAGGAATGAAATAAGCAGAACCACTGATAGAAGAAGGCAGATTGAGAGAAAAAATAAGGCAGAAAGAGAGTGGAAAAGTAAACAGTCCAAAAAAATGTAACGGTTATTGCAGAATGTGGCAGATCTTGTAAATTGATCCGACACTTTAAACATGAAAGTCATAATACCAGTAAAGTTGTTTAAACTCCACAAGGCACTGCTTAAACTTCAAATGATTCTATATCAAACTCAAAAAGTGAAAAAGATCAATGCATGCTATTACCATACAATACTGTTGAAGGGGCAACTCGTAGGATAACCTAGTGATTGACATATGGCAACGGGCACATATACATCCAGTTTAGGTGTATGTTAAAATAATAATTCAAAATTTGTATAGACTTTTTCTCCTCCCAGAAAATGAAAGGCTAGACAATCACCACCATCATAGTTTACCTATCGGCCCTGTGGTCCTTAATTTGAGTGAACATTTACTTTATCTTATCAAAGAAACAAACAAGGAAAAAAGTATTGAAATGTACATTCATTTTGGGCCATCAGATCCAAACAGTTTTCAATGACCAAAATTATGATGAAAACTAAAACTAACTACATGAACAGCCAGTATTAGATCAGCCAGTATTGAAATTTCACTAGTGTTCAATTGATCTCTTTCTATTTTAGGTTTTTCATTAGGCATGATTTTGTGGAAGAAGTAGGAGGTTAAGAATACACTTCCTGCAGTGGGCATCATTATTGCAAGGAGGATAGTTTCAGTTCAAAGAAAAATATCTTACAATCTAACCATCCACATATAAATTTTCACTTAAATCCAAGTTGATGTTTGTGGATAGTAACATCCAATTTTCACTTTCTGTTCTGCCAGACATTTAAACATAGCACTGAAGAGTATATTTATATTCCAAGAAAGCTTTAATATGTATAGTACCAGGCTATGGAATTCAAAATCTAAAAAAACATTGATCTATATGCATATGAAGAGAGAGAAAGAGAGCATTTTCTTACTATGTGGATTCCAGTTTTCAGTTCTTTTGCAGTGTCCCTCGTTTCAGTTAGTAAACGATCAGTAGAATTCATAATTTGCCTTATTCCAAGCCATATTCTAATGCGGCCATCTGCTGTATTATGGTGCTTCTCATACAGTTTCTTTTGAGACTGTACACTTAAAGTAAATGCATTATTTTATGCATTGATCAAATAATAAAATATTTCACGGATAGAAATCAAAATACAACAATTTGAAGACTTCCTTAAATGAAGAGTAACTTAATAAAAGTTTCCATTTGGGATTCCTTTTGTGTATGGGTTGTAAGTGCATGAGTTTATGAACTCATCAATTGGGTGCAGTTTTTTATTGCAAGTGTTTAAAATTTTTGTTCTTTAATTTTGTTTTGTCACCAAAAAGATCATGATAAAATCTGAGGGGGCACCCACAGGATGGCATCATAAGGAGTCAAACAAAATAGTTTTCTGGTGAGAGTAACAACACCAGACTATTTTCCTTTGGCATTTAAAAAAAAAAATAAAATAAAATAAAAAAAATCACACCTATTACCTTCCATGAGGCGTCATGGAGCAGCTCATAGGAACGGGGCAACTTTTTTTTGAAACATCAAGCTGCTCATATCTCTCACTGCCATAGCCTCTCTTTCAACAGCTTTCTGGCAATTTAAAATTGACCTTTTTAGTTACCCTGACAGCAGTTTTAAATGGTGGACATACACACAGAGGAAACTGCTAAACAGTTTCTCTTCATTTACATCATATCATACAACAAAAACTTAACAACTCATGGGCAAATCAAGTGTTTTTCAACATAACATTCAGTTCACTAATACTTTGTTATAAGGCCAAAATCAGTCTTAAAACAGATGAAATCAGTGGTCATCCTTTATTTTACCATATGGAATGAGGAACGATAACCAATAAATAGATTAAGGATCATCACACTCTCGACCAGGACTTTCCTATATATGAAGCCAATAGAAGTTTTTATTTTTTATTTTTCTTCTTCATTTGTGTTTTTATTTATTTATTTATTTATTTGTCTTTTTTTTATGGGGGTGGGGGGTGGGATGGAGTGAAGTTGGTTGAACTCTCTTGCTAAGCTTTAGAAATTCAGCCCGATCACAACTGTGTTCTGGGGAAATCAAAAGCCAAAGACAAAGCATTTAGGTCCTTTCAGAACTTGGTCAGAAATCACAATTGGGAACTTTGCCATTTTTCCATTTTATTCCTGATCTTTTCTTTTCTTTTTCTTTTTATTATTATTAGAGGGAAAGAAAGAATAGAAATGCTTTTAAGCCTGCATCAGGCTGCAGGTTGCCCAAAAAAAATGATGTGAAATCAATGTCAAACCCAAAATTCGTTAGAAAAACATAAGCTATCTCGTTAGTACTTACTGCCCATTTCAGTTCATGAGAAATTCAGTGTGGGTTCAATACCAAGGCAAAATCAAATTAGAGTGTAGCATTAGCAGTAAGTAAGATGTAAAAACTTAGATAAATATTGTGTTTGAATGATGAATTTGTGGAGAGAAAGGGGGTTTAGGGAAATGAATGGAAATTGGGATTTTAAAAAACGATTAAGGCAAAATGGAATCTGCAAATAATAAGAAGAGAAGGAAATACCATACCAATGAGATTGGCCAACGTCATGATGAGTTTCGGCTTCAGAATTAGAATTACGATCTCCCGCTCCAATCGAATCACATTTTTGTTCTTCTTCTCCTCCTCCATTGGGCGATTATGAACTACATACATACCAGTTTGTAATCGAGCTCGAACACATCTAGGGTTTCGTCGTCGCAGCAGGGGGTTGGGCGTTATCAAATTGGTTGTTTAAGTTGGAGATGATGATGGAGACGACGGCGGTTAAGTCGATGGCAGGAAGTGTAGGATCTCTTAAGAGAGAGTGACACCTAGAGGGTTAAAATCAGGGCTCCGAGATAAAAAAAGAATAGGAGAGAGAGGTATGGGACTTATTGGGAGGTGGTGATGGTTGCTCGACGCTGTCGTCTGCCGCTACTCGATGTCGTCTCACGCTATCGCTGCCGTCGCTCGCTGCCGCCGTTTGCCACTGCTCACAATCGTGCGAGCGAGAGAGAGAGAGAGAGAGAGAGTCATAAGAAAAGATGGGTTGGTTCAAAAGATTAGGGATTTGAGATTGGGGATTTTTGGTTGAGGGGTGGAAAAACGAGCGTGAATTAGATTTTGGGTTTTTTTTTTTTTTTTTCGACGTCAAGTTTCACTGTCACAAATAAAAATTTAAGGCAGCGTTTGGTAACATTTATGTTTTTGGTTTATGTTTACAAAAATTTTATTAACTAGAGAAAAGATTGTAGAGAGAGAGAGATATGTTTAGAAATGAATGAAAAAGGGGCAAATGATCAATGCATAGCTGAAATGCACAAAAAACGAGACAGATCATGCGTTTGGCCGCACGTGTGGAGCCCTTCACCGCACGTGCGGAGCCCCTCGCCGCACGTGCAGAGCCCCTTTTTGCACATGCGGAATTTTCCCACCACACGTGCAATTAATGTAGAATCAACACATCGACCTAGCTCCCTCTCGCACATGCGGCCATCCCTCCTACACATGCGGCCTAAGCCCCCGCACGTGCGGTCCCACCTAACTCAACTCAAACCTTTTTGAGGTGATCCCGATCCCCTCAATTTCGTCCTTACGGCCAACGCTCAAAACATTTAAATCGACCTAACGTTAAGTAGATTAAACAAGTCCGAACTCTCAAGCATCAATGCGACACAGACCATCAAGGTGCCGAATAAAATAAATAAATAAATAAATAAATAAATAAAATAGGTCCAAAAGGCACGTTCAAGTCGGATCCAAGACCCGGGACATCACAACCTCCCCACCTTAGGAAATTTCGTCCCTGAAATTAAACAAATGCCGAATTAAAAGCCAACACTTCATGAAGAAAACACAATACCAAGGAGGACCTCCCAACCAACCAAGGGAACACGACACTAACTCCAGGCTACATCCAAACTTGGAATACCTTCTCGACTCTGGGTTTGACATCTCAGAGCTCCAAGGACACCCGAATTAACAAGAACTCAAAGATGTGATCACATATGTCTCCTTGACCCATACCACTCGTTGGGTCTATGAGACAAGAACAACAACTCGTATACCTAAGTCACCCTCCAAAAGACAACCACCACAGCATGTCCAAACACTCTCGAGTGTTTAACACCCCAACATGGAGGAGAATAAAGTTTTCACTACTAGACCCTTGGTTAACTCACTCAAAAGGAAAGGATTATAACAAAACCTGACCCAAGGCAAAACTCCGGCCAAACAAGCCCTTACAATGCCAATCGACCCACATAACCGAACATACAGACCCAAGATTAGCAACTCAAATAAAGTTGTTACACCATCCCAACCATATAGGTATAATAGCTAACAACTCAGCTTTTTTCAAATAAAAAAACATTTCATCATTTTCTCAATTCTTGGTAAGAATCATGTCTTTGCATGTAACACATTTTCCTAAAGGTGCTCAAAACTCACACCGGTCACAAGCCAAAAATACATTTTCTGCCTTTTAAGCAAGACCCAAATTTTATTCATTTCCAATTCTGTTCCAATATAACATCCGGTGAGTCTCTATCGTCACCCAATACTACCCATCACTCACATGGTGATGCCACAACCAACATCAACATAACATTTCCACAATAATAATTAACAAAGATAACAACTGTGCCGTCAACACAAAATACCACTATCACGCAATTTCATTCGGTCATGATCATTATTATTACCAACGCAAGTTATCATCCACACAAGGTAACGAAACGGTCACATAAGCTAGTTAAAACGAGGGTTTTTTATACTATTTTAAAAGAAAACTCTTTTTCCCAAAAAAATTTTAAAATCTCAACCCCAAGGTTTTAGGTGAAATTAAAAATGCCATGATAGGTTTCAAAAACCAACAATCACTTTTCAATTTATTTTCTCAACAAACAACCAGTGAATCCCAACCATCACCCAATCACATCCATCACACCTCTAGTGACTTCATAATGTGACAACTATATTTCCATAACAACAACAAATAGAAATAAATACAGTGCTAAAATAGACAATACAGCACGCATGACTTTCCAAATTCTGAAAGTTTCACACCAATACAAACACTAATGAAATAAACCATCGATACACAAAGGCTTGCGAGTGTTCCCAACCAAGAAGCTAACACTTTATCCCAACTCACAGGTTTCACAGGTTTCAAAAATTCACATCGGGAAGCGCACATCGATACCCACACACACATAAGCAAGGCTCAATGCCCCCAAACACAACCCATAGTATTACACCACCTTATAGCTAAATCTGTGCTAAATTTCCAAAGGTCCAACTTCACAACTCACATCCAAACCATTCTAAAGTGACTATTTGTCACCCACCTTAACACCGATCAACTGACTAATTACCCAAGAATTTCCGCCCCTGGCATTCAAACATCTACACTCTTCTCCCGCCCCGTTTACGTAGAGACGGGGTTCTAAACACTGTTCCACATACTTTTAGAATCTCCTTGAATTTCTCAAAATAGACTACACCACTCTTATTCCCAAAGGAAACTTTTATTCATATGCCCAGATGGCAACCACGCCATTAAATTTCAACACAAGACCTAATAGGTCCACAGTGATCACACGATCCTGGTCACATGAGACAATCCTTATCAATGCTACACTCATTACTTGAGAACACAAATTGTTCATTGTTCTAGGAAATACTTCGAGTATCCACCCATGAATTTTTCTTCCCACTCAAAACTCCCCCAAAAATCTAATAACACCCAGAACTCATTCCACACACACATAAATACTAACATTGGCACAACACTGACCCTACTCACGATCGATAGAACCACAACGAACTCACTAAGCAACAACTCAAGACACTAAACAACACACACAAGTGCCATTCTCACTATGCCGAGATATGAATCTCACACTCCCTTAGACATTCCCACATAACTTCCACCAATTTTACCAAACTCTAAGGTCTCACATTCCCTCAGACTCAACACATTCAAAGCCTTATAATTTGGCTTTTATCATACCACCTCACTATTCAAATTTTTTTTACGGATTTCTCATTCCCCCAAACAAATTCCAACTAGACAAGGATCAACGACCATCACATGACCATCTCATAATTCAACATTTGATATACAACAACACTAGGATCATCAATCTCATTAACAACTTTTCATTACATGTACACAAAGAGAGTTCAAGTTTCATTACATGCCCCAATACATGAGGGTACACAAATGCAATACATATACATATACAACACATAACCACGGTGCTTCAACATCCCATAGTACACCGATCAATAACAAAAGTTCACAATTTATAACATCGATCTCTAAAACAAAAGTCCCTCTCAAGGGTGATACTATTATGCTGGTTGAAAAGTCGACCCTCACGAAGCTCTTGATACTGATACCGTCCTCGACTGGACTGATGAGCCAGAGTCTGACTAGGCTCTAAAACACCCAAATAACTTACACGCAAAGGGTAGAAACGTCTAACATGGCCCAGCTGACCACAATTAAAACAAACAGGAGTCTCCCAACTCTGAATCTGGCCTGGAGCCCAAACCTCACTGGGTCTCCCAACGGACGAGTCCGAAACCCCTGACAAAGACAAGAACTAAGTCTTGGAGTGAGCATGCGTTCGCTTCCACCTCTTACTAAGCCTAGAGTGTTTATGAACCGTAGGAGTTGCCAAAGTGGCCTCCTCCCTAATTCGACCAACACTGCTAACCATGGTCTCCACATGGGCCGCCGCCTCAACTAAAGAAAAATAATTCTTCCACATAGATCCAATCACCTTCTCCCGAATATCATCACGTAATTGTCTCTCAAACTCATAACAACGGCGCTCCTCTGTTGCCACCAACTTTGGAGCAAACCTCGACAAACTAGTGAACCTCATCTCAAACTGAGCTAAAGGAATAGCATTCTGGCGTAACTCAACAAACTGTTCCTTCAACCTTTCTTGAGCAGAAAAAAGGAAATATTTGGCCAAAAAAGCCTTTGTAAAAGCAACCCACGTGGCATCTACAGTGTTCTTAGCATACTTCCACCAATAATTCGCATCTCCTTTCAATTGGAAACCTGCCAAATAGATCCTCAACCCCTCGTCCACGACTCTGAGCATATCAAGAGTCTTGGTAATCTGTTCCAACGAACTCTCCGCTTCCAGCGGTTTTGCCTCCCGCAAAAACTCTGGTGGGTTGGAGCAAAGAAGCTCCTTAGTAAGCTTGAGGGTACACCCGTTGTCCCCCTCATTGCGAGCTAGAGCATCTTGCACCGCTTTCACAATCTAGCGTGCAACTCGTCGACAGCCGATGCTGTAACGACAGGTGCTAAGGGAACCACCATGCCCCTACCGACACTCCTACTACCCATTCGTCCTTTATTCTCTCGTGTAGACATCCTATAAAATCCCAAAACAATATCACACTTAGTACACATCGCAACAGCTTCCTTGAGGCACACACTCACCACCACTAAGCAACAAGACACACTTAACCCCCAAAACATACAATTCCCAATGCATATAAACAATTTAAACATCTAAACACATAATCGAATCAAGTTCACAAAGATAGCCTGTCATCTTGGAACTCTCAAGGAATTCCTATTAGAAACCACGTTGATCAGGCATCTTTCCAATAGGACCTGAAAGCAAGTTCGCCTGCTACAAGTACTATCTAAGAAACTTAATCCCATGCTCCCATAAATGCAACATATAAGTCCTAACACTTGTCCTAACTATATGCAATGTCCTCACCAATCATAGTAAACCCTTTATGGTAAAAACCACTTTCCATGAGCCCAAAGTATTCAAACCCGGCTCGCTCTGATACCAAGTTGTAACGCCCCACTTTTTATTACTCAGATTCCATTACCAAACCATTATTATAGGTTCAATTTCAGAGATAACATACGGAAACTCTTTACATTTACAAGAACATATGAATAAAGATTCTCTCATCCGAATACAATATGAATGCAACAGGAGTTATAATTAAACAAATTACTCGTAGGCTTACATCTTTTAAATTAAAAGAAAGGGTTTAACCCTTTTACATCAATGCCATTC